CGCAGTACTTGTTGTTGATGACGGTTGCAGAATGCAGGCTGCGGGGGAGGGGCGGCGTCCCACTGAGAGCTGGTTGGCTCCACACCAAAGACTCTGTGACATCATCAGGAAAAGAACCAATCAGGAAAGGATTTCATGAACTCTTCTGATTCTGTGAGAAAATCACGATAACCTCTAACAGGAAATGAAAGCGGACTGTTAGTCTGAGTCCTTCAGAGGTTTCCATGGAAACCTCACCTAAGTCCAGGACCCAGAGGTCTCCCAGCCGGCAACCGTTCATCCCGCCGTAGATGATCAGCCTGCTGACTCCGCCCTTGGTCGTCATCACTGCCGTGTGACTCTCCCTGGGGGGCGGCGCCGGCCCAGATGTGGGCGGGATCTCCCAGCTGACCACCGTGGAGCCGGGTCTCAGCTCCAGACAGTAAAGGTCGTTCAGGTACCTGCAGGAGAGGGACAACAGTCAGACTGAGGGACAGGCGCTGTGTGGACGGGTGGGGGGCGGGTCCGACCTGGGAATGTTGTTTTTTGGGTCCTCGCTGTCATTGGCCAGGCCACCGAACAGGTAACACCGGGAGCCAATCAGGGAGAAGCTGTGTCCGAGGCGGGGGCACGGGGGTGGGCCTCTCTTTGGGGGTTTGGCCTTCAGACGTTTCCACTCCCAGCGGCTGGCCTGCAGAGGGCAGCAGAGGCTTATTGAACGGTTGCCATGGTGACAGCAGGGGGCGCCTCCATGGCGGCGGCACTGACCTGCAGCTCGTACAGCTCGTTGCTGTACTTCCCGTACTCCACCATCCCTCCGAACACCAGCAGGCGCGTCCCGTCGCACACAAAGCCGTAGGCGGCGCAGCCCGGCGGGATGTCGCCACGGACCGCCGGGATGAACCACTGGTTGGTAGCTGGGGGGGGGAGACATGGCAATAAAGAGGGTCACACCACCCACAGCCGCCATCGCCACGGAAACAAGCTGCTGAAATTCATGCTGTCTGTGTTCTGCTAAGGATAACGCTAACCGGGTTCTGGATTCTGACCCACAGGGTTCGGCGTTCTGATGTCATGTCAGTTCAGAACTGACAGGTGTTTGAGAACGTCTGGTGGAGCGAAAGAGGCGGGATCTGATTGGCCCACCAGAGTTAGCACTCCGCCATCATCTTAATCTGTTAATGGGGTTCTGACTGGGATTATAAAGGTTCTAACTGGGATCATTAAGGTTCTGACTGGGATTATAAACGTTCTAACTAGGATTATAAAGGTTCTTACTGGGATTATGAAGGCTATAATTTGGACCATTAAGGTTCTAACTGGGATTATAAAGGTTCTAATTGGGAGCATTAAGGTTCCCACTGGGATTATAACGGTTCTCACTGGGATTATAAAGGCTCCAATTTGGACCATTAAGGTTCTATCTGAGATTATAGAAGTTCTGACTGGTTTTATAGAAGTTCTGACTGGGATTATAAAGGTTCTCATTGGGATTATAAAGGTTCTCACTGGGATAATAAAGGTTCTAACTGGACGTTCTAAGTGGGTCATAGAGGTTTTCCCCTGAAACAGTTTTGAGATTAAAATGCAAGGTTTTTTTTTTTTTTTTGTATCCATGGTTCCTTTGTTGCTCCACCAGCAGCACCTCCCGCTCATAATCCGGGGTGGGGTGTTGGGGGTTGGACGGACAGTGGGGGGGTCTTGTTCTCTGGTTCAATCTGAATTTACTGGATGGAAATTTTCTGGACTTCTACGGTTCGAAGGAATAAAGGAAAATAAAAGCCGCCTTTATTATTTTGTTCTGTTTGTTTGTTTAAGCGCCTGTCGGTGTGGGCGGGGCTATGTGACATCAACAATGTTTTCATTAAAAGGGCGCCATTTTTCACCGTGTCTCTGGCTGATAAGCAGGAGCTAAATGCTAACTGCTACATGCTAAAGGCTTAAGACGAACCGGGGAGAAGCAGGTGGAAACAGGCTCCCTGTGACGGAACCACAGCCGGATTTAAAGCCGCTCCATCCTCCGGTTCAAAGCACATAATAACCCGCTTCAGCCCCCGCTAAGGTTCCAGAAGTTCTCCCCCAGTTTATCCCCTGGAAGCCGAGCTGTTGTGGGCTTTAAAGCCCACAGCCCGCCGCCTCAGCCGGACCCACCTGTATTGTAGACGTGTAGCTCATCCACGATTCCCTCGTTCCCTCCTCCGAACACAACCATGAGCTCCTTAATGGACACGGCCCGGTGGCCGTGCCGCGGCCGCGGAACCGGCCCGGTCCAGCCCAGAACCCGCTTCCAGCGGGGCTGTAGCACAGTGGGGGTCTCATTCAGGGTCTCCATGGGTTTAGCTCTGCTCGGATCTAGTCGCAGCTTAACGGTTTAATCATTTGGTTGCTTCGGACCGGCTGGTTCTGATCCAACCGGCTCCTCCACTGAGTTCTCAGGGCGGCCAGACCCACTAACGGTTCCCCGGGTCTGCAGGCCGCGAAGTCCCGGTGATCCGCTAACGGCTAGCAGATAGCAGCTAACGCTACTCTACTTCTTCTTTGCGGGTTACGTAGTTTAACGCTCATTAGCGCCGCCTGCTGGGCTGGTCTGCTAAGTGTTTATCACAGGCTAATCGCTATGCTGCCCCCTTCAGGTGCTTCATTTTTCAACAAAGAACTTTCTGCGCAGCTTTTTTCTCTGGTTGTGAATTAAAACTCAGAAAATATAAATTTACTGGAAAAACAGAAAGCTTTAAATCTGATTAAAAAAAGCCACCTTCTGCCCCCTAAACTCTTTGTTTCACCTACAGAACATTAATCTCAGTAATCTACACTACATTAATCTCAGTATATTAATCTCAGTGTTCCCACCAGTAGTTAGAACTGAAGAAGCCTCTTGGATGAGAGGAGAAATGTGTTCTAGAAACCTTCAGGTTTAGTTGGATAGTCTGAACCTTTTCAAGCTGGACTGTGACCCGGATGATTGACAATTTTCACAGATATCAAACAAATGTTTTCTTTCACATGGTAATCTGGGTTTAGATGAAAACAAATGAGCCACATTTCCCTGCTTTGACACAGCGCTTACTCATCATTTTCAGATATACAGTCAGTCTACAATGCCCCAGCCTTAATGTGTTTAACTTGATAGTAATCAAAGGCTGTTAGATAAACTAATGCCTGGATTTATACTCCCCTGCTGTAATTTGAAAGCCACCAAGGCCTGCAGCTCAGCAGCAGCAGAGTCAGAACAGATTTAACCCAGAACTGGTTTTACTTCCCCAAACATGCCCTCTCTTAGCACAGTTCTTTGGCTCCATTGGTGAAAATGTTGCAGTAGTGATCCTTTTTCTCACTTATAAAATCATCAGCCTTCTTACTAGTGTTGCTCTGATGCCATTTTTTGGCCCCGATACCCGATACCTGACTGTGCAGTATCGTCCGATACCGATACCATACATATACCATCTGTTTGAAATTGATGTGTGTGTATATATGTAGAACTGCATCCTACTTGGATGTAAAATAATCTCCATCATGGCTTCATGTCCAGCTGCTGCCTGCCTTAGTGAAGCAGGAAAAAGACTAACAAAGTGAATCCAGTAGAACTTTTTATTGCCTACCTGGAATGGGTGACAATAGTGGAAGAAACTTTTGGCTCTAAAATGGTATTGGTGCCCTATTGGTTGGTATTCGCTGATACCGATACCACCATTATAGTGCTGGATCGGAGCCCCGCCTGATACTGGCATCGGTGCAACACTACTTCTTACTACCACGATTTAGAAAATGATATGCACAGCCGGGAATGTCGTCACACTCCACATATAATCTAATAAAAAGGAGTAAAATAATTTCTAAGATGAAGCAGGAAAAGCTGCAGATAATTTAGTGCTAGGAGACACAGCTCTACTCTTCTGAACATGAAAAATCAAAAAAGCTTGGATTCTAAAATTCCTATTCTTCATCCCATCAATCGAGGTGGAGGAGAGGTGGAGCCATACTGGTGGCCAGTGTAGCACACTTAGAGTTTATCTCTCTAGTGAAGCATAAGGGAGATTTATTGTAGTAAACAGGTGGGCTCTCCTCATCCTCCACAGGAAGTCCAAGCGCTTCTGGGCCCTTTGGACCAGTGAGGTGGTGTTTCCA